TTACGTTTGGCGTGATTGTCCTCCCCGCTCCACTAACGCCCGTCGTAGCTACACTGCGACCTTCACCCTGCTCTTCGACGGCCGGACCTCCTCCCTGCTCTACGGCGCTCCCCTCAAGCAAAGCCCTCGACCTTACCACCACCGCACCCGCATGTCCACTGCACTTGTACAACGGCAATTAATTTCATGTGGCCCGTACATTGGTCTGGCTCGAAATGCGCACGGTAGTTGTAAGGGTGGCGGGTAGGCTCCTGAGACTGCCGAGTGATCAGTTCACCTAACCAGCCCGTGCTCAGATTAGCGAGTACTGTACTCCACGCTGCGGCAACGAACTGTCAAGAGCAGCAACATAGACGCTTGAATTCGAAAACCGGTGGGTGCGACGAAGGATTTGGTGTCGGTAGGCATTCTTCGCCCCTGCGTCGACTCGATGGCCTCCCAATCGGACTTCGTGGGCAGTCGCCAGCAATGGCATGTTCGTTGATGGCCTCGAAGTAGGTGTCGATCAAGAATGACACGTCTTCCTTTCAACTTTGACAGTTGGCCGAGCTCCTTCAATTTTTCAAGGGGCAAATGCATGGCTGGCTCTCGTGCATGGAACGCAGCGTGGAAGGCACCCCAATTTCACATGACAGGGGTATCCTTCAACAACAAAGACCAGCACCTACCCCATCTCCACTCCGCACCGACCAAGGTATAATGTGAACGCGGCTCCGAGTACGAAGACCGGGTTCATGTAGTCGGGGAATGTCTACTATTGTACAAGAAGGAGAGGAAATTTTACATGACTGAGGTGGGGGAAAATAGCACAAGGAACATACGGAGAGATTTTTGAGGCACGGAATAGCCAGGAGAAGACGTTAGCTGTACTTGGGGCATAGAACGTGAGTTGGTTGAAGAGGCGGAAGTGATATCGAAAGGATAGATATGCCAGGGAAAACATTTTTCAGACACCTTTGGCTAAGTAGGAAGGAACGGTTGACCATCGGTCTTGGTCCTGTGGGAACCATGCTCCATGCTCCGTCCTCTCGAAGACGCCTGTGGTCAATGATCTAATCGTTAAGATATGCAAAACATAAGAGTACGCCCCGCTCCCCCCCCCTCCGCACCAGTATTCTTTGAAACGGAGTTCCCCTCCTTGCCGCTGATCTGAAACTGCCGCTGGGTGGGGTCACCGGATACCCCGTGAGTCACCCCTCATCATCTTCACGATGAGTCCTTTTCTTGCAGATGCCCCGTTTTTGGGTCTGTTCTTTTCTGCACGCGCATCGTTGCACCACAAATTCGGGTTTTTGTTCTTGATGCCACGGCGGAACTGAGCACGTGTTCTTATGGCCAACTTCTTACATTTTGAGTTTTTCGAGGCTGCATTCCTGAAATGCTAAGTTCTTAAGTGCGAGCGCCATCTGTAGCCAAACTCGCATTAAACACAAGACCACTCGCTGCATGGAAAGCTGTTACGTACCAGCCTACGTTGCCGTAACCAGAGTGCCTCCAACCACCAACAACGGTACCAAAAGGTGTGGTTGAATACTGATCAATAGCATTGTGCACCGGTCGGAGAGATCGCACCAGGGTGCCTTGAACATTCTAAACGAAATGATTTAATTGCACTTCCGAACCGGGATCGGAGAGATGGCACCGGTCGGAGAGATGGCACCGGGGTGTGAAACCCCCCCCCGAGAAAAAAACACTTTAAAAAACGATCGCGTGAGTACCAAACTTCGAAGTTAGCAACGTTGACGAGGGAAAGGGACGGCTGGACCCTTCTCGCGGAAAAATAAAAAATTCAGCACGCACCGCGGGAGGAAGGTGGGGCATGAAAATAAACAAAAAGAAGAAAGAAGCCCTGAAGCCCCTCCTGTGCGACCCTGGATGGTGGCAGTTGTACGAAAAAGTACATTGAAAAGTGTAGTACTCTACATACGCTGAAAACGCGTAGTACACGTCTCACGACGAAAAATGGGGGGACTGTCGCCATAACAAATAAGACGGAAACACACACACACACACACACCCGCTGGCACCGACGTCTTTTAATTGGTCAGCCGGTTAGCGCGGTCGATGCTAATAATAAAAAAAAACACACACACACACACACACGAAATCCAAAGTGCTTTTCCCGGAAGGTCTTTGCATATCCTCTTTCACAAACGACGAACAGCACCAGTTGACGAAAATTGGTCTATCAGTTGCTGAAGGTGGCATGCCAGTAGTCGGGATCCCAGTAGGGACAGAAGAGTTCCAGAGAAAATTCGTTTCCAAATTCGCCCGTGGTGACCCGGCGGATTTGATACTCCGCCTAGTAACGCTTGACGACCCTCAAGCCAGCTATCAATTGCTGCGTTTATCTGGTGTGCCACGTTTGTTTCATCTGCTGAGGACTATTACACCGTCTTTCACCATCTCTGCCGCTAGAGAACATGACCTGATGATGTGGGCAATGAGTAAGATCGTCCTAGGCAAGATGGCCGACAGCATGAGAATACCAACGGACAAAGAAGTACGCGCAGACCCGACGAAGAGCGAGGAGGTAGATTTCTTCAAAGGGACAGCTCGGGCACAGGTGCACCTACCCATGCGTGAAGGAGGACTAGGAATCACGAGCAATGTTCTCATTCGAGAATCGGTTTTGTGGCAGGGCAAGCGCTGGTGTTCTCCAAGTCAGTGCAAGCATCGACAGGATACACAGTTGAGCAATGTCTACCCCGGCTTGCCCAGCAACCGAGAGGATCGGCTCTGATTGACTCGCTCAACAAGCTAGAGGAGATCAACACCAAAGACAAGCTTGAAAAAGCTGTTAGGCAGTCATGGGCTAAACTTGCCACAAGTGATGAGTTAACCCCCGCCCTCAAAGGAGTTCACCTATCGGAAGCAGGGAAGGCGGGAAAACCCAGTGAAGATGGAAACCCTGACGTAGAACATCAACCACCGTCTACCTACAGCCGAAATGAATTTGGTTAACACTACCAAATCTTGGGAGCCCAAGCTCTCCTTTCGAAACCTTTTCATGCAGCAGTGCGTCACATGGTGGAGACAGACTTGCAAAAGGTAGCAGGCGAGGAAATGTCAAAGAAGAGGGCATTGATCCGCATGGAGGAAGCGAAAGGCAAGGGAGTTTTGTCATGGTTGACAACGCAAGGGTTGTCAGCAGATGTAATAATGCTGCCTGGTCTATATCGAGAGTCAATCGGTCGGGTACTGGGGAGTTACGATCGAGCAGACTGCGACACAGGCAAACTTTGTGGTGCAGGTGCATTGTTACCATGCACGGACCGCTTGAGCCGAGCCCACTCCCTCGTCTGCACCCAGACCGGCGCCTCAACTTTCCTCCATAACAGGATAGTTCGCGTAGTCCTTAAGACACTGCGTGAGTGCCATATGCCCGTCGCCGTTGAGGATTCTTCCCCTTTTACCACAGGCACTGGTAGGGGAAAGGGGCTTTACAAGATGGAGCTGTTTATCCCCCCAGGATTGCACGCAGGAGAGTAGGAAGAGGAATTCTACACCAAGTCCATTCTTATAGACGTAGCAATCATCAACCCATCCGCAGGTCGAAGCATCGACAAGTCGATCCTTAAGCCAGGATCCGCCCTCGAAAATCGAGCTGCAAGTAAGGCAAATCAATATGCGGGAACTTTCAACCCGTCCGTCTAGATCTACCCCTCCTTACTGCTGCTTTTTCAACGAATGGTGGTCTTGGCAAAGGCACCAATCGACTCATCGTTGCTATCGCCAACCACTTGGCGCACGAAGTTTTTTGGCCGGGGGAATTTTGACGACGAAAGAGCCTTAGTTCTCCTGAAAGCTTTTCACACTAACAGGATTCGGACACGGTTTACCTTCGAGTTAGCTCGTTTTCTGTCGATGCGAACTCGCGATGTTTTTAAACATCATGGGCTACTCATCGACCAACTTCCACCAGGGCTAATCGGTTGGGATCTCTGCGACAACGATAGTAATAAGGGTAATTCTGTTTGGAGTGACGGAGGCAAAGGAAAGGGAAAGGGAAGAAAGGAGGACGAAGACGACGATGGAGGAAGAAAACATGGAGGAGTGGACGAGAGCAAAGGGTTTGAGCCAGATGACCTTCCCCAAAACAAAAAAAGTAGGGCTAGGGAAGAACTGCCCAGATGTTCTTGTCAAAATGAGGATCAGAATAATGGTAGCGAAAACAAGGAGGTTAACGGTGAAAGTACTCCTAAACGAACTCGAGTACAAGGTAATAGCCTTGGTAGACGTGTGCAGTTTTCTTCTGTTGCTGCTGTTTCTGTCTTGCTTTGATCCGAAGGATAGTTTAGCCTCCCCCATGCTGCCCCCTCACGGGGTCCCAGTTCATGGCAGATAAAAGTATTTTGTGTTTTCAACCGCACTGAGACTGACGTCTTTTCATTGGTCAGCCGGTTAGCGCGGTCGATGCTTATAATAAAAACACACACCCGGTGCCAACTCTCCGACTAGTACGGTACTCATCAAGTACAGATGGCGCCCTCACTTAAGAACACACCTGTTTGAACATGGGGCTAAAAAATTCCCAAACTTGAGAACTCGGCCATAAGAACAGGTGCTCAGTTCTGACGTGACATAAGAACAAGAACCCGTATCCAGGTGTCCAAACTCGAGTTCAAGATAAGAACGGGGTCCATTGCAGATCTTCGCTGGAAGACAAGAACTTCGGCGTGTAGCGTCACTCCCTCCCTCCCCCCTCCCAGTATTTTTTCCACAACATAGGGTGGGTACCGAAAAATTAGCGAACCAGGAGGGNCAGGTGTCCAAACTCGAGTTCAAGATAAGAACGGGGTCCATTGCAGATCTTCGCTGGAAGACAAGAACTTCGGCGTGTAGCGTCACTCCCTCCCTCCCCCCTCCCAGTATTTTTTCCACAACATAGGGTGGGTACCGAAAAATTAGCGAACCAGGAGGGTGTGTGCGTGGGATATCGCGGTGCCCCCTTCGTTTCTGCGGCCCTCGGGTTTCCTCGGGTGCGTGCCACGCAACAAGCCCTCTGTCTGCACGAAGGGCGATCATGTCGCTGCCCTTGGCGACGTTGAGGGAGCTCCAGAAGCTCGCAGCACTCAAAGCAAAGGGCGTCATCCTTGAACGACAGTACGAGGTGACCAAGAAACATGTGAGGAAGGGCAACTCCCTCTCGAGCGAAGACTGGGAGGCCTTCGATTTGGCGCGGGACCTGAGGAGCAGCGGCGTGTTCTCGGAAGAAGGGTGGACCACGCAGGTTGATGGGAGTCATGTCGGGCATCATCAACANAGCAGCACTCAAAACAAAGGGCGTCATCCTTGAACGACAGTACGAGGTGACCAAGAAACATGTGAGGAAGGGCAACTCCCTCTCGAGCGAAGACTGGGAGGCCTTCGATTTGGCGCGGGACCTGAGGAGCAGCGGCGTGTTCTCGGAAGAAGGGTGGACCACGCAGGTTGATGGGAGTCATGTCGGGCATCATCAACAGCGCTCACCCTACACTGTCTTCAGACGACGCTGCCGCGTCGCAGCAGCAGCAGCAGGTCCGGCGGCGCACGGGGCCCCGAATCGAGGAAAGAGACAACGAGAGGACGCCAGCAAAGGCTTGCTGAACATCTACAACTCGCTTGCTATTGGCAGCGGGGAACCGGTGAGCCCCTGCAAACTCTGCACAAACAATTAATCTCTACAAACTTGTCTGTATGTGGCAGTGGGTATTTTCTGAGCACATTCCAGCATGTGCACAGCAGTTTTTTTTTTCGCGATTGTGTTTTTACCGTCTCTTCTTGTTGGCGCGTGTCTACATTTTTGTAGTGTCACGAGTGTACACATCACGTGATACGCCATTGTAAACCATGAAGTTTTGATTGGCATACATAACTGCCGTGTCCGTCTGCCCGCCCCGGCAAGGTGAAGCAGATAATTTTTTGCCACATATATGTTAATGCGTGTGTAAACTTCTACTACTGCTGTACTTCGATGCAAAACATACATGTAAAGCAACAAAATATCCGAGACATCGATGTACGTGGTGTACTGCTGTCGGTACTGCTGCATGGATTTTTTCAACNTGCTGAACATCTACAACTCGCTTGCTATTGGCAGCGGGGAACCGGTGAGCCCCTGCAAACTCTGCACAAACAATTAATCTCTACAAACTTGTCTGTATGTGGCAGTGGGTATTTTCTGAGCACATTCCAGCATGTGCACAGCAGTTTTTTTTTTCGCGATTGTGTTTTTACCGTCTCTTCTTGTTGGCGCGTGTCTACATTTTTGTAGTGTCACGAGTGTACACATCACGTGATACGCCATTGTAAACCATGAAGTTTTGATTGGCATACATAACTGCCGTGTCCGTCTGCCCGCCCCGGCAAGGTGAAGCAGATAATTTTTTGCCACATATATGTTAATGCGTGTGTAAACTTCTACTACTGCTGTACTTCGATGCAAAACATACATGTAAAGCAACAAAATATCCGAGACATCGATGTACGTGGTGTACTGCTGTCGGTACTGCTGCATGGATTTTTTCAACCTTGCTGATTGTGTATTTACGTATGGCATGCGCATCTTTTCCCATTGGTCGGTAGGTTTTGCGGACTTGCGCTGGCGTGCAGGAGTATGTGCCCGGCGTCAGTTTTGCATCGCCGGCCCCGGCCCCCCGTGTGCGATGCCCCCACTGTCCGACGACCTTTGTGAACACACAAGGCCTGGGAGTCCACATGAAAACCAACCACAGCAGGGAAAACATGTTCCAAGGCCAGCGACTGCAGCGGCTGCTTGGAGACGATGCGAAAGGGGATGTCCTGCCGTGGGAGCGCGCCGGACCTGGGCGCTGTCATCACGTGAAGGTCGATGGCATCAGGGGGGCAGCTTCGTTCGTCCTCCAGCCGAAGCGTCTCCCCGACATAGACCTGGAATCTGACGGCTTCACGCGTGCTGAACCTAAGTCGGCTCGTCGTGGCGCTGCCAAGCGCAATTGCTAGGACTGTAAGTTCAAAGCCCGCGTGCCCCAGCAGCTTCATAACCTCGAGGAGGACCGCCAAGCCCCCTGACAGGCCGAGCACCTCACCCTTCTGCAGTACCTGGAAACCCACATGAATGTCCCTCTCCCCACCATCTGCAAGCGGGTCAAGGAGGAGAACGAGATCGTGGCGGGCGCCGCAGGCGAAGTGAAGCAGACGCTACTCGCGAAAAAGCAGCCAAAGCGGTGGTTTCCTACCGCCGAGAAGGAGCTCTACAACCGTTTCTTGGCTCGCCGCAGGAAGAAGCTGAAGGTGTCAACCCTTTGGCTCACCGTCACGTTCCGGAAGCCCTACCGACAGCCGGGCGGCATTGTTTCGACCTTCCTTCCGGTGGATGCAAAAATGGGCCAAGAGACACAAGTGGTTCAAGTCCATCGAGGAACGCTTGCCGCGAATCCGGCGGTTCCACAGGAGGTTTCGCCAGCTGAGCCGGTGCAGCGGAGGAAGGTGGTCTTCCCTGAGAGTTCATCACTGTCTACGGGTGGGGCGGAGGAGCCCAGGCTAGAAAAGAACGGGCAGTTCCAGCTGTCGGAGCGTTTCGACGTGGATCAGGTGCCTTTGCCGTTCGTGAACGGGCCGGGAATCACGTGGGCACAGCAAGGCGTGAAGCGAGTAGCCGTCAGCCAGCCCTTTGCCGGACTGGAGCAAAGGCAGTGCACCATGCAAGTCATCTTTGGTCCCGGTAAGAGGGTTATGCGGATTGCCCTCATTTCCAGAGGCACGGGGAAGCGGACCTCGAAGGTGGAGAAGGCCGCGCACCACAGGAATGTGGATGTCTTCTTCCAACAAAACGCGTGGGCTGACCAGGACTTCTGCATGGAGTGGGCCAAGAAGTCCTTTCGCCCGAGCTTGATGCGCGGGAGGAGCCAGCTCCCCATGGAGAGGACCCTCCTTCTCATGGACAACTTGCACGCGCAGACGACGGACAAGCTCAAGGACTATCTGTCCAAGCAATGCAACACCCTTCCCTGGTTTTTTCCGACCGAGACCACGGACGGGCTGCAGACCGTCGACGCGGGAGCCGGACGCTTTCTTGGGAAGCGAATATGAAGTTGGAGCAGGCGGACAACGTCGAAAGGTAGGAAAGCAACTCGTTGACGGCGTCTGACCGGCGCGTGCTGATCACGCAGTGGGTTGGGGCAGCCATGGAAGAACTCGACAGCCGCGAGGAATACCTGTTCCGCCTTTTCGAAAAGTGTGGCCTGGCGATGACTGTCGGCGGTTCAGGCGATGACCGAATCACCTTGGAGGGTCTGGACAAGCCGTACACCTTCGCGGGCGATGGGGACTCCAGCGACGACGAGGGATCTTCCGAGACTAGCAACGATGAGTGCGGGGGTGGGGATGACCAGACGGTTGAGGGCGAGAAGGACCACGGCGGCGAGGGAGTGGAGGACGGCGATTCTAGCGACGAAGACACTCGTGGTAAGCTGGATGCCCACCAGGGTTTTTCACTCCCCTGCTTGGTTGTTGTTGCGTTTCCTGTTGCTGTTGCTTTTGCCCTTGCCGTTGCCGTTAAACATATGTTTGCGTAGATGACATATCAGTTTCTGCGACATTGTCTTTTGTGCCCATCGTCGCAGAGACGGCCAGTGGCCAGATGGACGAGCTGAGTCTTGTGGCCGACGACGACAGGATGGAATCGGACGACGAGATTCACGCCATGGAGATTCCGGATGGGTTTCGCGTTCAAGCATCTACACCGGCAGCTCTTGACAGTTCGTTACTGCAGCTTGGAGTACTCGGTAGGCTGGGCATGGGGTGGTTCGGGGGGGCGATCACTCGACAGTCTCTCTCCCCTCCCTCGGCCTGCTCCCCGGCCGGGGCCGAAATCGACCTAGTGAGTTCCTCGCGGGCGAATCAGACCACAAAAGATAGTAGGCGGGTGGTGTCCCAAGGTACAACTCATCGCCGCGCTGGCTCAGTGTGGCGGTGAGGATGCACTGACGGTGGTAGTGGCGAGAGGTGTGTATGGACACTGTTCCCGCGGCAGTGATGCAAAGCGGCAAACTGCACCTGGCAACCACCGTCGCGGAAAGCGTGGCCCACGAAGCTGGAGGAGTAGAGAGATTCGTAAACACCACGTCAGTAAGCACCGCTCGCGGGAGAAGGGAGACCACCGCGGCCACCGCGGGGAGGGAGTGCTTCACCCTCCTCGTCAAAACACCACAGGCAAGAACCGAGCTCTGCAGAGATGGATTGATGCGAGGAAAAATGCCGCTCGGAAAATACGGAAGAAAGGACACCCGCAACGCGAGGTGGACCTAGAGAGGCACGAGACCGCAGCGGCCATCAAGGTAGCTGCGAAGAAGAAGGCACGAGAGGGCGACCTATCGTTCGGCACGTTCAACGTACGCACGCTCGCCTACAGCGGTAGGAACCCCATCGGTCACAACGTGATGACGGTCATGCAGATTTGTTCCG